GAAGTAGAATTCCAGAATTTCTTTTTTCATGGCCCTCTATTACAAGGAATAGAGACAGGTATTTTTCCCCCACACCTGTCACTGTTTTTTACAGAGAGGTGTCCTGGGGTGACTTTATGATGCTCGTATTCCCACTTGTCTGTTTAGCCCAGGAATAAGTTGTGCACCTTTAAGACTGTTCTGAGAGTGAAGCGGGGGGAGAGAAGAAGTGTGCAGTTTGTTTGCAGAAGCTGCACTCACTCCACATTCCTGCTCCTGGACTGGGTTGTCTGCAGACAGATGGACAGACAGCAAGACAGAGCTCTCCTTCTGCTTTTTAGTTAGTTTTAGCTAGTGAGCTACAGCCCACAAAGGGGACTTTCTGAGTTTGTCATCTCTTTGGAGTGGCAAGAGGTTTTATTGTTTAATACTGTTTTGGTTTTTTGGGGTTTTTTTTGTGCTGGTCAGTGCTTTGCCTGTTAAATAAACAGTTTTTTCCACTTTTTTCCAAGGAAATATTTCCCCAAACCAGCTGGGGGAGGGGCCACTTGAATTTGCTTTCTAGAGGAACCCCTTTGGAGGTTTTCTCCCAAATTTGCCCTAAATCAGGACAACAGGACAGGCTGAAGAACCATGGGATCCCTGACTCCTGCTCTCAGGTATCTGTGCTTATGCTATAGAGGAGTTCAGCTTTTACAAGAGTGACCTGCAGAGAAGGTTCAAGCCAGACAGGAATATAATACTAAATAAGCCTTATTTAGGACTCCACAGGAAAAGCCAACTATTTCATGGCCACTTCTTTTTTTTTTTTTTTAAATTTTTACATCCAGGACAACTGCTGTGCAGAAAAGCAAAGCTGCAGCACCATGCAGTTGTGCCTGACAGCTCTGCTGTTTGAGCAGGAATAACCATCCTGCTCCAATGCCTTCTCCTGCCTAGTCCAGACAGCCAGATGAGCTACACAGTGAAAGCACAGAATTTCTCTCTCCCACACACTCCCTTGTGCATGTGAGCAGAGCTAGGCTCAAAGCTGAACCTCATGGGTATAAACACATGATTCAGATTCTACATTAACATATTTGTTTTCTGACATTTTCTCCAGAAAGCTACCAGCAATTATTAACTAGTCAATACAATTATTTATGCTATAAGGTGGCATATGCCATGCATGTCTGGTAAGAGAACATGCACACAAAATTAATCAAAATACTATTTTGAGAAGCAGCAGTAATAGTTCTAAATTTGAAGATGATGAGTTCACTGGCTTTGCTGAAAACAACACTAAGATCCCAAATGCAAAAGAAGAAAGAGCTGCATTTCCAAATGGTATGGAAAAGTACAACTGGCACTGAGCAGTGAGACAGATGTCCAAAACACTGTTCTCAAGAGAAGAGATCCAAGAATTCAAAAGGTGAATTAAACTGAAGAAACACTATCAAGGACATGAAACAAAACAGTGGAGTGCTGATTAATGGTGTGAAGATTTCTTAAATTTTTTAGAGTTTTTTCTGATGTGTGAACAAGGTTACCTGAATCTCAAACACTGAATCACTTGGATATAAATGAATTTGTTCCCAGCAATAAAGGTAGTCGGGATCAGGATCCACTCATCTGTGTATTCTGGATGCTATTTCTCGACTTTGCTGAAGACTGAAACGCACTCAGCAGAAGAGTTCTGTGCCTCGGTCTCAATGCAAATGAATCTCTTTCTGGCAACACAACTGCAATTACCATATTCACAGAGATTATTAATTAATCAGAAGCGCTATTTGAATAAAAGTGCGGCTCATTGATATATTTTAAGAAAGTATTTGACACAGTATTCAACCATTCACCATAAGCTTAGTTCAGCAGAACGTTACTGAAGCCACAGATGAAGAAGTTAAATACTGTATCAAGTTTAAAGAAGAAATGGAGGGTGAATAAGAGGTGTGAAAGCTGAGGCTGTAGGGAGCTGTGGATATAAGATCCCACTGAGCTGAGCGTAGGCAGCTGCAGGGCTGTGGAGCGATTACTGTTTCACAGGGGCACACATGGGTTTCGTGTTGCTGCAACAAGCAGTGGGGCAGCAGAACCCTGCATGTGCACAGCTCCTGGCCCTGCAGAAACGTGCTGGGGCAAAATTACCACACTGCAGAGGGAGTTACAACTATAACACAGAGGCCAGGCTGGGAGCACATGGCCTTAAGAACTCCAAGACCTTTTAGTGCTGGGCAGCAGGCTTTATAAAAGCCTTCAAATAATGGCAACTCCTCCTCTGTAAATAAGGTACCTTAAAAGCAAACCAAGAAACAAAAAAAAAAAACCACAAAAGAAAAACAAATAAGCACAAAAAGCAGTGCAATTATCCTACCTCTGAGCTTGATTTCTTTTCACCTGATCCACTTATCCAGAGCACAGGAAACATTAACTCTTATGCACACGTGCATTAGGAACCTTTGAACCAAGCAGGCCGCCTCCTTTGATGTGCATTTCCATCTCCCCTCGTTTCTTCTGCTGCCTAAAGCCTACTGCTGTGAACAGAAACACTCTTGACATATTATTTACAAAAGCCAATATAAACACCTCATGGAATACCAACAATTCAAAATGCTCTGTTTCCTCCTGCTAATTTTGTCATTCCCTAAACTGTGAGCTATGTGGGCATAATCTGTCCCTTCCTGAGGCACTGCTGCAAGTGTTGTGGTCTCTTCTGAAGAAATTTGATAGCTTGGTGAGAAAGTCTTTTGGGCTTGGTGAGTCCACTTCATTCACATTGAACAAAACATATACATTTGGCAGCAATCTCTTGGGTGGAGAAAAAAAAAAAAAAAAAAGCAAAGCAAAGCTTATTTAATAGCACTCCAAGTGGCAGATCATCAACTCAGACAGTAAAGCGAACACAAGTGACAAACTCCATGAATCAAAATAAAATCAGGCAACTGGCCTATGCCTATGGATCAAGACTCAGCTCAGTGAAATGAAAACTACAACTTGCTCCAGGAAATTGGCTACTAAAATTGTTAAACAGATTACTGGTCACACACCTGCCATCAGACTACACTGAAAAGGAGTCCTCACACAAGTAAATAAACGAGCCAGTAAGGGCATGTAGTGCACATTTACATTTGGGGTTTTCTCCCCTCACTGAGCCCTCTATCATCACACCAGTCCTTCAGCTTTAAGTTGCCCCTTGCTGCTGACTGGGTCCCCAAAGTGGGAAAAGGAGCAGCCAGGCAGAACTCCCCTGCCTGCAGACCAATTTGTGGGGAGGAAAGGCACTGGACTGTGCTGCTTGGGAATGGAACAGTGGGACACAGTGCTTGGCAGGTGCCCATGGCCACCAGCCAGAAGCATCTCCTCAGCCAGCCAGGCAGCAGAGCATTCCCACTGGGAAGCAGGTACTCTCCACCTACAAGCACAAACAGCAGAATGTGCCCCAGGGGGGTCAAAGAAATAACCACAGTTTGTATGCTGATACATTGACATGTATTAAGATTCTCTTGAAAAATGTATCTCCCAGCCAAGATAAATTGAATTATGTGTATGAGACAACTCCTATTAATAAGTGAACTTTGTTTTTTCGTAAGGGAGCTTTCAATTTCATGTTGCCACTTTTACTCTAAGTATATTTACAAACACCAGGATCAAATACTTCAGCCCACTTGGATACATCATCGTTGTTAAAACCCCTGATGTCTTGGGCAGAACAAATTTTTAGATTATCCATAAATAAACAGACATGGAAAATGTTTGCATAAAAGTTCCTCTTCAAAAGCAAAAGGTTTTAATTAATTATTTTAATCTCTATATTTTCTTTAAAAATTTAGAGAAAATAATTGTGGTACTTTTTATTCAGAAGTTTGAAATACCTCATTTAGAACAAACCTCCTTTTTCCTCAGAGGTGCTCGAAGTAGGTAATTTGAAAAACCCTAAAGAACATGTTTTAAGAAAAATGCAAAAGTACTATGCTTTCCAAACTGGTACAAGTGACAGAAAATGTAGGTTTGGATTTGTAGAACACACTACCTCAAGACAGAACATCTTCTTGCACAATGAGGCATTCTGTTTGATTGTAATAGTCTGTAAATAGTGGCTCTATTTTGCATCTTTTTTTCTCCAATTCAAGAGCATATTTTTGAAAAAATAATCTTTCAAAGCACTTGCCTCCCCTTTCAACCACACTACTGGGAAGCTACATACCTACGCAGAAGCTCTCTAACCTCGCTAACAAGTGAGAAACCTCAGAGCTAAGGCTTCAGCAGAGGGAAATATCAAACTAGAAATGTGCATGTTTACAAGCACCAAGTTTTAATTCCTCATGGCAATTCTGCCCTATGGAGCAATAGATAGGGTCAACGTGCTTGTACTGAGTGCAAGGCCAAACAAATTCAAGAGAGAATGGAACGGCACCTGAGACAAGGTCTAATTCATGTGAGAACATTTTAGCAGATTATTTGTACACCTATTTAGATGGGACTATTCCTGTCTTTATCGAGTGTATTAGAGAAATGAAAAAGCCCATTAACTTGCCATTGTTTAAAGCACATGGCCATGCATGTGTTTGACAGCAATGTATACTATAAGGTACAGTATCAAAAGGAAAAAAAAAAAAACAACAAAAAACAAAGAGATCAAGGTTTAACAATAATTAAGATATTGACACATTAAAATAAATTTCACTTAACCTGGGGCTAAGCAATATGTAGGCAGTGATTGAAAGTTCTTACATTACCCACAGAGCTCTTCTATGGCCAAATTACCCTCTGTTCTCAAGAGAGCAAATTTGCTGTGATGATTCACATCCTGTTTTGAACTGCAAACACCAGTGCTTCCTCCTAACTGTATGTGGTAATTTCTTAAGCAAAATACCATTCTCTAGGGGTACAATTTGATTTTTTTAAATTTCATTCTGACCAGAGTGTGAAACAAAAAGATCAAGATTTTGACACTGCTCTGGAAAGAGAGGCTATTGGACTGTGCTCAGTAAAGCGGTCAGAAAAAAAAGGGCATTAAATAACAACAATGGACCTCAGAGAAATTAACTGTATCTCTTTATTGTTAACCAATGAATGTTATCCAAAATAGTAGATGTAATTGTAGCTTAATTGTACAACACAAAACATGATGCTAAAGGAAAAAGCATGTGGAAAATTACTTCACTGAGTAATCATTAGATGTATTCTTAGTATTTCTGCACCAGTAAGTGTTCTCAACTGCTGGTGACAGCAGCTATTACCACTTTGTTCATTGTGAAAACCTGTATTACAAATGGTTGTTCCTGGTTGTTTGAATTAAAAAAAAAAAAAAAAAAAAATCACACAGCTTTATAAATGGATCGAATCCATTCAGTCCTACTCTACATGTTGTAGATTTATGAACAACAATCTTTACTGGTGTTTTTCCAAACACTGAAACTGATGGATCAGTCTTAGTGCACACTTTTCAGGGAAAAATGAAAACTCACTGGAAGCACAGTATTTCACCTGCCATGCCAAACTCTTTAAATACTTCAGAAATTTGCTTAAGCTTCGGTGTATGAAGCCTGTGAAACAAAAACTGTTCTTACAATGCACTGCAAGTTGAAACACCAACTTCCACCAAGCAGCATTTTAAAGCATGTGCACAGCATCTGCACATCAGTCTTCAAGGTCAAGCAGATATGTTTAGCCCCACAAACCAAAAATATATTAATGTATCTTTATTTAATTTTCATGATGTCACCCCACATAGCCAAACTTTTACCGCAAAATAAAAAAACAAACTTAGTCGGACTGTTCATGAGAAATTTAGACCTATTGTGCATGAAAAAAAAAAAGTTTAATAAAATGGCAAATTTTAATAGATGAGTGTAAATTTATGAGTGCATAATACCAAACAGAAAAAAAGCTGAACCATCCTCAGAGAAACCTAGGTTCTTCCACGTCAATATTTACTAGGGTACTCTAACATAGGGAGCAACTGAAGTCCACATTAACTGTAAAGTTATTACTAAAGTTCAATTTCTAAGCAAATTTCTTAAAAGAGCAGGTTTCCTTTTCAAGAGGGAAAGGACTTAATAATCTGACATCAGATATGACAATTACAATACTAGCTTCACTGAAAACTGAAGCTACAAACACTTTTACTCCAATTCTGGGAAGTTTCATTTTGTATTTGAAACCCAAACTGACTGACACACACATTCTACACCCCTCCCAGAATATAGTATACCAGTGACAGGTTACAGCTTTAAAATACACCAGATGCTTTTACAATTTCAACTCAACAGAAGGCAGTTAGACAGTACTCAGCATTATAAATCCATAATAAAGTAAAATAAAATTATAGGAGTAAGGTCTCCTAGCAATCTTTGATGTTACTGTGTAGTGACAATCAATTTAAACAGTTATTTTCATGGTGTTTGAAGGACCAGTCATCATGTACATAGTAGTGAGGTAGGATACTGTCCCCTCCCTGGGACTGATGTTTTCATATGCTCCCTTGCCAGAAAGGTCCAGGTCTCCCTACTGCAAATAAAATAATTACAAGCAAATAGCAAATTAAGCTTTGTTTATTTTTTTCCCTCTTTGCTGCATTGGAACATTTTGCACATCTAAAAGAATCAGCTAGGAAAAGCAATACTTACTCAAGCCTATCAGCAGCCATGCGCTGCCCACAGGTAGTGTTCCATTTAAAAACATTTCCTGGAACTACCACCTGCCATCCAGACCTTTGTGAACAGGTAGGCAAAGAAAACCATCAATGATGACAGGACATGAAACACCAAAGAATTTCACTTGGGGAAAAAAAAAAACCAAAAAACCAAACACAAAAACCCCCAAAACAAAACAAGAAAAAAACAACCAAAACTGAAAGTGGGCAGTATTAAACTCTTAATGGAGTAGCTACATTGAAAACCAATTTCAAACTTCATACTGAAACAGTACCTATCCAGTTTAGGTACAGTTCCATTCTTCTTTTTTTTAATGTTTAAGCAATATATACACTTGTAAGTCATTAAATACTTCACACCTATTTCCAAAGGGGGGTAAAAAACCCAAACAAACAATGAAACTGAAAACACAACGGGGAAAACCCTGCTCTTAACCTCCACACCCTCCCCCCACCCAAAACCTAGAGTTAACAGACTGCCTTACTGTTGAATAGCTTCCCCTAAATTTGTCTTCTAGTCACTGTAGTCAACCTGGTATTAAGTGCTTTGGCAAAGTGGGGTGCAATCCATCAAATCTGCAAAGGCCTGCTTTTTTTCTCTGTTGGTGGTTCAGCTTTACGAGGAACATATATGCAAAATACCAGCTCTCACATTGCTTCAAACTCATCAATACGCTGCTTTGTATTGCCTTGTCGGATTTGCCGGAGAGTCTTGTACTTATCGCGGCCTGCTTTAACATTCTCAGCATGAAGGACATCATTTTGTGTTTTCTTGGTTTCATCTCTGGCTTGAGCCAACTCTGAACTTAAAGCCTGTTGAATAAAATATTTGAATTTAAGTGCTTTGACTAATCCTTTAACAGTTCTGGAGTTTCTGATAATAACTATTCTGCAATCTGGATAAGAATTTCTTGAATGCCAACCTATGGAATGCTTGTTGTGCTCCTCAGTAACTCAAGTTGTGAGGTCTATCAGAACGAATGCAGAAGGACAGATAAGGAGAGCATAGGATTCTTTCCTTACATGAGTGTAAACATCAAACTATATTAAAAAAAGCCTCATACACTATAAAATCCAAGCAGAAAGGGACCAGCAGGATAAAGCAGGAAAACCACCTTATTTTTCAATGTTTCTGTAACTAAAGACTTATCTCCCTCATCTGGTCAGTGACTGACCAAGCAAGAATACTACACATGCATGCTACTAAGACAATGCTGCCAGACAAAGTAGCAGCTTTCCTTTTCTTCTGTTTTCTTCCCAAATAAACATCTTGTAACCAGGAAAAGGGCTACCAGTACTAGAGATTATTATGCTTCGAGGGATAAGACTTAGCCTGGGAGGAATTGCTCAGTTTTAGGGAAATAAGAATAACCCAAAATGGGTGTAATTTGAGTTTTTGCATCTACAACACCTATGAGTGACTACAAACAAACATAAATACTACCAAGCAAGTTCATACCACTTAATTAGTTTTGGTATCGAAAAAGGAAAGCATTATGCTTTAACATGCAGACTTCTGGAAATGATATAATTATTAGAAACATTTACTGGCTAATGCAACAGCATACTTACACTTTAAAGCTATAAAGCACAATCTTACATCCAATCTTGCTATATACTCCATTTCTAGAACACTGTGAATGATATTGGTTGGTAAACTGGTAATAAACCTATTAAATGATAAAGAAGCTGTTTCCTTGGCAGACCATAACATCAGTGAAATTTCTCACAAAAGAAGGATGAAACCCCAAAGCCTGAACTGTGCTGATACAACTATGAATCTTCATTACCTGGAGCTGTTTCTTAACACGTTCATTTTTCTGTGTTTCTGTTACCCGTTCTTCCTCACTCCTGTGATTCATGACACCATCAGAAGACAGTTCTGCACTGGCTTCAGCATTGTTCTCATCATGTTCATCGTGTTCATTCTCTGTTGGAGGAATAACTGGTGGGGGTGGAGGTGGAGGAGGAGCAGACATCACAGATTTCAGTTCTTCTTTGGTCTTTTCCAAGTCCTCTTGGGCTGCAAAAGCCTAAATACAGTAAACAGTGCTTAGCATCTTTTTAAATGATTTATCAAGAGTCAGAAAAATAAAAATTTGAGATGTTCTCAGACACATGGAACTGTTCTTTATAACTGACATGACTAGCTTACACACTGAAAACTTTCAAATAAATAGAGACACAGAGAAAAAACCAGACATGGCTCAAAATAAGCTGTACTAGGGGGTCCAGCTATTTCCAGCAGCAGACAAGAGAAGAGCGAAGGAATAGAGCAATCATACCAATTGTTTTCCAACTTTCCTAGCCTCCTGAAATTTAAGACTTAGGAATTTCCTAGATCAAAGGTGATGACTTCAAATTTCATACTTAACCAGGACTTATGAAAATTTGTTCAAACCCTCTTGGAACCCACGCACAGCAACTACTCACATTCCATAGCTAATTATAGATTTTATGAAGAGATACTATTTTGCTTTAAATTTTTGCCCAGCTGCATTTCATGTGCCTTTGTTAACTGATTTAGTTCAGCCTTCCATCAAATCTCATGATTTTATACACCTTACTCCTGAGGTGTTTTCCTCTCTAACACAAAGCTCTTTCACCATCACACAAAAGGAAGCAATTTCTAATCTTTGACCATACCTTTGTGATGAGTCTGCCCCCCCTTCTTGACTACGTAATATCAAGAAATGAGTTAAACAGAAACATGGGCAGGCTTCAGTAGACTGGAGGACAAAAACCTTTAAGAAAGACTTTTCTGAAGCCTAACAGAAAGGGAGAGATTTGACCCCATGGACTTCTAGTGAGATTTCCACACTCATTTCCCTTAGCCCTTTTGAAGTTCTGACTTCACACAGCATGGGTTCATTACTTTGTGCTGCCATTCTGATGCTTCCTCTTCTTTCTTTTTCTTGGCCTCCTCTAGAAGTGCAATCTTGGCTGTGAATTCAGCAATTTCTGCTGCCTGAAACAAACAAAAGAACAAAGAAGAAGTTTTAATTTGGTATCAGTCTGGCTTTGCAGTAGAAGAAAGCAGAGCCTTTGCTATGATCCAGCTTGAAAAGTTAAGTTATCATCCACCACTTCTCTGTGAAAAATAGAAATTTTAAGCGTACATGACAGAGGGAATGAATCAGAGTGCTCTTGCCTAACAGAGATACGTCCAGGAAAAAAAATATTTCTCTTCTGCACTTCCAAAGCTTGCTGGGAAACAGCAAGCTGTCATTACAAACTAGCATTTCAGGCTGTTTCAGTCTAATACAACTTTAATGGTCCCACCATTAAGACTATGAATCTGGATCATAATCTCAGTACTATTAAGCTAAATCTCGCCATCAGAATTATGTGCCAAGTTTACAGAAGATCAAGAGCTCATTTATAGTTGAGAAATGATTTCTTCTATTTTCATGCCTTTCTTGATTATTATGCACAAATCTTGAATTAGAAGTAGTCTAACACAGTGTGAGAAGACACTGCAAACACTGGCAAGAGGAGAGGAAAAGCAACAAAAATACCCCAACAAATCCCAGTGTCACCAACTCTCTACCATCACCATCAAGCTTCAGAACAAACCTGCCTCACAGAACAAGCTTCCCAAAGGGCTGCAGAAGGAAGCTACTCTGGTTCTCAGCTGGATAAGCCTGAGACTATTAGAAAGAGAGTGTAATAAGTGTTGTCAGTCTGAAAGGTGGTGGTCATCTTTTAATCTCCTAGAGATCCAGAGTTTTATTTTTGCCTTGCAAAGTAGTGGCAAGTCTAATGCAGTTTTCTAAAACAGTTCCCACAACACTCTGTAACAGTATCTCAAGTACTTTTGTGTTTCAATGTACTTCTTCATTTGACATAATCAAAGGTAAAGGCAAAATTTTCAACTGTCTTTTCCAATTTTAATCCTATTTTGAAGAAAAAAATAAAGTTTCTTACTAGCTGCTCCTGGTTCTTCATTTGATCAGCTGCCTGCTTGGCTAGAGCAGCTTTGGCTACTTCAGCTGCTCGACGCTCTTTTTCCAGGCGTTCTGCTTCCTCTTTTGCACGCTTCCGTTCTTGATCCAGTTCTAGAGCTCTTCGAGTCTGCTCCTCTAGCTCTGCCAAGAGGAAGGTTTGCAGACAAGGTATCACTACCCAGCTCTTCCTCAAATGTATCACAGATACCAGCTGTAACATGCCCAAAATAAAGTAACCTAGAACACTAACCAAGATTTACAAGACCACCTCAAGCTAAGAAAAGCTATTGAGCACGTTACCCAGAGCTCTGTTCTATGTCTGGTTTCTCCCCCACTTTAAGATATTCTTTGGATATACTTCATCTCACCTGACATTTCTGACAGCCTAGTGTTTCAGAAAAGTGTCACTCCACGGATAAAAGTAAAAACCCAAATACAGGTACAAGTACATGCACGTGCTCCTACTCCTACGTGCATGTACTTCATGTACATTTAATCACTCTCTTAAAGAAAGCAAAAAAACTCTTCATATTGAAATGCCTGACAGATTCCTTAATCACAGCTGAAAATTTAACCACATGCCTCCAGCAAAATTACTTAAGATCCACTGAAAGGGTCAGAAAAATTCTTTGTATATCAGAGGAGGAAAATTTTAAATCAAGGGAGAGATAATAGCTGTCCAGCTGCCTGCGTAGCAAAATATTGAAATCTAAAGGACAGAACCCTTAAGTGAAATAGGAAGAAGTAATAATCTAGAAGTACTGCAAGGTTAGGTTTACACAGACAAAATTATACTCCTCCCCAATGAGAAAAACTAGATGACTATGAAAAAAAGTCTTTCTAAAGTTCTTTGCTGGTTCTAGTGATAAGATTTCTGCTATGATCTTGGCTAGGCAGAGCTTTCATAGACTCCTCCAACAGAAAACCGAAACAACTATTCTTTTTTTCCAACAATCCATTTGCCTTCACCACAAGCTTTAATACTACAAAAGCACCTCCCCAGATATGCTGACACATGCTTCATCTTTGTACTTGTAGTGTTACGCAGTAATGTGACCATATTCTTCAGTTGGTTTCCCAGGCCTACTACTACAGTTATAAAATTAAATTAACAGCATCACAAGTATGTGGCGTTCTACAAATCCAGTACCTAAAAATTAAATAAAATAAAATTATTTAAAAACACTACTCAAACAAATCTTCATATGAAGATGGAGAACACAAAACTAACACAGACCATTTCTATAAAGACTTTTCCATGTGCGCAAAGAAAGCTAAAAAGACCAGCAACACATTAACATTTTGTATTGCATCAGAAATTATGCTATATTGCTCACAAAGTTATGAGAAAATGCATATTGTCAAACCTTCAGAATTACTCTGACACTGTTCTGTCCTGGGCAAAATAGCTCTTCCTAAACAATTCCACAGCACAATTAGAGTGTTACTTGTCTGGATGTGTCCAACCTGTTCTGCATTGAAAGACTGAAAAACGCAGGGTAGAGCTGGAGAGCAGTGCCAGGCATATGCAATTTATTTGCATAGAGTTAATCAGAGATTGTCTCTATGATGCTTGAAGCCAAGGGTTAAGAAAAGAAAGGAGCAACAAAACTTTTATGAATGTGAACCACACCTGAAGTAGGGAAAAAAAAAAAAAGAACATGGAGAGGAGGGACTGGGAAATCATGGAGGCAGGGACTCTACAGGGTGAATAAACACAAAGAACTGTGATTGGTGAAACCTACATGTTTTGTCACTCATGTCTGACAATTTCTCAAATCTTACAGGGGAATAGGAAAGGAGGAAGGAACAAGGAATTTCCAAATTAAAAGCTAAATTCAACAAAATCCTAGAGAAAGTACTTTGAATCTTCCCCTCTAATTTCCCTGCTCCCTTCAACTCCAGGTGTTCAGCACTTTGAGCATTTCATAATTCCGAGTTGAAGTGTGTATGCATTAATTTTCTTTTTACTAAATCAAAACTTTTGCTACACTAGAAATTGGTTTTATATTAGAAAGATACAGACAAAAGCACACACACTGTCATTTAAACACTGAAAAAGAATATCTCTCATATCAAATAGAACACCACTAAATTCTTGCCACTATTAGTAAAATAAACTTAGCCCCCCCACAAAGTACCAAAACACACTTTTGACATAGAAAAAGAATTGTGGAATTGAAGGACCCAGCTAAACTAAACACTGTCACTAGATTTAAGAAATCTATGACCTCACCTTTCTGAGCTTTCATTGTTTGCTCCTCAATTTGTCTTAAGCGCTCCATTAATTCCTCCTTTTCACGCTCTATTCTTTCCTTTTCCTTTTCTGCTATCTCCCTTTTTTTCTTCTCATTTTCTAATTGTGCTCTGAAAAAAAATAGTGAAAAGGTTTTTTCTTTACTCTCCAACATATTAAATTATACTCTTTGGGTGCAGGTAGCCAATTTTTCAGTTTACTCAGCTAGCAGGAAGGACAATTTTAAATACTTCTAATCCTTTTTCTGCTCCAAAATACTGTAGAGAAGAACAATTTATGAAGAGGACTGGTAATCAACCTTGGTTATGGCTCACCATGTAAATCTAGAATTATATCTGCATTTTAGGCATTATGTTTCATCTGGGCTAGAAATAGCAACAGTATTTTTTAAATACATTCAAGGTAAGCCAGGACATTCTTCACTGAACTTGCTTAAAGGGTTCACTCATAGAGTATAAAATTCCCTACGAATCAAGCAACAGAGAGGTAAGAATTGCACAAAATACATAACAGGAACAACAGTACAACTACTATTACTGTGCTGGAAGCTTAAGAAAGATACGCTTTTATATTAAGACAGGGGAGCCATGCCAATTCACAAACCTGCTTACATAGTGCAGAAAGAAAAGCAGTTCTCTTTTCTAGAATTCTAAGATATACTATATTCTATGACTTCTTAATAAGGTAGAATTTTTTTTTTTGTTTCATGGAAGTTTTTTAATTACCTTTCCAATTGTTTCTGATGTTTCTCTTCTCTAGCTTGGGCCTTCATCTGTTGCACTTCAATTGTATCAGGTTTCCTCCTCCTCATGTACAATTCATGATTTCCCATACACAGTGCCAAAATTCGCTTGTTAATTCTCAGACGGGGTGCATAAAAAACAAAATCCTAGGAAAAAAGTTATTCCCGTGTATCCATTAGCCTAAAAAACACACTTAGACAGGATTCAAAGCATTACTGCATTCTTGCATTGGTTAAATGAAAACTTACAAGTATTTTGATATTTTGAGCAAATGAACACCATAATCTATAAACCTAGTTACTGTCAGAGACTTAAATTCAAAATTGCGCCTTGAATACTCCAGGAATTAGCTGGTTTATCTAAAATATTAATTTCTTTTTTTAGTGATACTATTCTCTACTCTATTCTGAAGTCATTTGACCTAGAAAGTCTCATGAAATTTGCTGTTGTAATTTAAAAAAAGCAAAAAGAAAAGGTAGAGAATTTACCATCTTATGCTGTCTTTTCAATGCATCACAGAGTATTAGTTGACATAAAACCCCACAACAATTTAGGAGTATCAATGAGAAGGAAAAGAGAGAAAATAAACATACCATATTTCAAAATGAACATTTTCTTTTGATTACTGACTATTCTATCAGTAGAAGTAGTAAATGTCACCAATATTTACTCATGCCTTAATGCCAGAGCAAGTGCCTGCAGACTTAAATCTCTTCATACAGCAAGTGATGCTATTGTACACACTACTTACAGGGGCCTTTTTGTCAATTGGCTTTATGACAAATTTTTTGTCGTTAAATGAGATGTTTCTTATTTCGCTCCAAGGAAAACCAATCTTGGGTGTTAGCCTTCAGAGAGAAGAAGTTCTCATTAGAAGCAGCAAGGATGTGCACTCTATATACACAGGAATTCAATAAGGCTTCTGTCTGTACCATTCTCACTACTACACGTAGCTACATTTAGAATATTACATTTACAACACTATGTTTTAATGTGAACATTAACAACAGTTCAAGCATATTTTGGTAGATTTTTCTTTTTACAAATATTCCATCAAATTAATTACATTTTAAAAAATTACATGGCATCGTAACAATAGAAATTTTGATTTGTGACTTATTCTACTACTATTACCTAGATACTAAACATCATGATCATGTACTCATTCCTTATATGACATTGGTAACTGTATTTTCACTTGAAAGAGTAACTACTGAAATGTGAGAAATTGCCATTCCAAATACTGAAATTAAAGTAACTTTCAGCCATGCTGTACTTCCGTTTTGCTCAGATTTGTGATCTTACATTTTCAGAATGCAAGCTAAATTTATTTCCCTTGCATCTTAAGCAAAACGCATTAAATTCAAAAATTGTTACAATGTTATGCATCAACTGCATAACAGTAAATATTTTTCTGTCAGCACAGACTTTTTTTTATTCATATTATCTTAATTATAAATATCAGAAAATATTTAAGTATTTGATTGCTAACATCAGGAGACAGGAAATACCAAAAAATTGCCTCATAGCTCAATCTGATCAGAACATTTTGAATATTTCCTGCTTTCAGGAGTTATATTGCCATCTAATGGCAATTAAGGCTTACAGAATTTTGTTTGTATATACATCTAAAGTTGACTGCTCCCATCTGGAATTTGACCTATCATATGTAACTTCAAATCACTATGAACGGTCTGTTGACATGAGATACTACTAATAACAAGTGCTTGTAAAGAAAGAAAAGAGCAAGTCTGTTGTTCTATTTCCAAATTCTTCATATTTCCCACATTTCAGCTCTTCCCTCTTCAAGTAGAAGAGATGATTTGATCTCTTTATCAGGACACATGATGACCTATTTTCTTTGGTGTCTAAAAGGTTTCACTTTTAAATATCTAAGTTTTTCATGCTCCAACATCTATACTCCCCGTTATGGCTCTTACAAATGTTTCTCATTAAATACATTGCTTAGCTTTAAAATGTCCTTTTCATCCTGACCCAAGGGAATGTTTTGAGTGAAAAGTACAGGAAGAAACCATATACAGATGGTCTAGCGTAGTAATTCACATAAAGCAATGTAAATTTAAACTTCCATAGAACTGCTCTTCCTTTCCCTCCTTTTGCTTCCCTAATCTTTAAAATTCAAACATTCTGGCAGTTAACTTCTCTCTCTTTTTTTCTATCTCTTACATAGATTAGAAGGAGAACCTGTTTTGCCAGATCTTACTGAACACACAGTAAGGTGGGGGTTGTACAATCTCAGATAGCAACTCCCAGTACAGAACTGCAAAATGAGTATTTCCCACTTACTTATCATCGTGCTCATAAATATTCAGACCCAAAGCATCAACTCCTAGCCACAATTCAGTTCCTTTTTTATTCTTTATTTCAAAATAGTTGACTCCATACATTTCCAAGTCTTGTGCTATCTTAAGGTATTCCATCATAGAATCTTCCCTGATGAAGAAGAAAAATCGGGATAGTTTAGACAACAAATCATAAGTACAATGTAAGAATAAGGGAACTACAGAAAAAACAGCTGGGGTAAAATTAGTTATGAATTAAATCTCTCTCTAAAATAGTTTGACTCATCTACCTTTAAGAGCTCTACATTCCAATATCAAAGTAGAGTCCAATCATTGCACTTTGTCTTTCTGCCCCATGAGTTAAGCAAATACTAAATGTATTTTAGAGGCAGGCAACTGTGGATAAAGGCAGCCTTACCAGCTGACAGCCTTACCAGAAATCATGTAGGTAAACCAACAACCTAGCTGGAAACTCAACTCTCATGGAAGTCCTTCATAACTACCTACCTTGGTCAGTATAAAAGAAACATTTGCCAAACAAATACCTCCCAAAATACACCCTAATAATAATGAAAGGTGTCGTGAACATTTTTTACATAATTACCTTAACATTCCCCTGTGCTCTTCATGCCAGTTCTGTATTCTTTCTTCCCACTGTTCTTTTGTCAGTTTGTGCTGTTCTAACACACTGTGAATAGAAATTGTTGCTCTTAAACGACACTGACAACAAACTTAACCTCTTTTGGTGCATCGCACAATATATGCTTTAACTGAATAAACTTAAAAGATGACTTCCTATATACGGCTCATATTTTCAGCACAGAAACAGAGACTTTGTATTTCAACAAATTCCCTTTAATTTCTATTTCCAAATTAGAAGGGAATTTGTATTTCCAAATTCCCACACTAAAATACTGAGAAAGTCACCTCTTTTTTCTTGGTATTCTATATTCTTTGTAATATAAAAGTCACACCATTGCATACCTCAGCTAAGTCATAAAATGTAATGTTTACAACAGCTGAAAATGCACACCTATAGAATCTTCTGGCAACAATGCTGCAAATTAATCTCTAGGTGTACAAAGATACACCCAAGCTTTCATTCTGCAGTCATTTGAAAGAAAAGGTAAGACATTACAACAAATTGTTGAGGGTTTCTTTTTTGTGGTTTTGGGTTCTTTTTATTTTTCCTTTATGAATAAAATCAATAGGGAAGCAGCTTCAGAAAGCTATGTAATGTTAAATCTACAAGAGGCTGCAATGATGGAATTATATTTTGGCCTACTGGAACTTTCAGCATAGTACTGCAGTAAGAAATCAAATGCATAGGATAACTTATTATGCTTTCATTCCATGCATTTCAGGTGTTTGTGGAGAAGCTGTTTCAAAGGACAATTAAAAGATCATCTGAGCATTGGTCTACTGAAAAGGAGCACCTTAAGTATACAAATTTGTGTTGTACTCAAGCACTGCAATATATTTCATTTGCAGTACACTTACTTTCAGGAAATTATTGTCATTTAAGTGTGTAAAAACATGAAAACTGAAGAAAAGGAGAGTATCAAATTAATTTTAATTACTTCTGAATTGGAGTATTTTGATTTTAATTTGGCAGAAGCAGGCTTCCACTAACATTAAATTATTTTGGAATACTTTGGAAATGTGTAAAATTAAATCTGTGCAGATGTTTGTGGACAGGAGAGGAAATACATGTCAAGAAACATGCGGCTGTGATGCTTCTTCTTTAAAGTCTAAATCAGGATCTCTAAATTTTACTAGCAAAAAGAGGAACTCTAAGAAAGCCACTATTAAATGCATGTTATCACTTAATATTTTATTTATACAAAATGTGCTTTAGTTATGTGCACCATTTGGTGCAAAACCCATCTCACTCACCGCTGGGGGAGAAGCCGGTCATTGGCTAGGTAGCCCAGCTTATGGATCTCCTTACTGTAATCTCCATACTTGGACTGGACAGCATAGGAAGCCAGAAGAACTGCAGTTTCTGGTGGGCAATATATTTCATCATTTAAGATTGACTCTTTTACTTGCAGGAAGAAAAGTCTCTGAGTTATTTCCTGAATTAATTCTTCAGATACATCCTCTGGAAAAAACTTGGCCCTGAACTTAAACTGCAAAGGATTTTCTTTCCGTACATCTTGCTGTGTTACCTGAGGGAGAGGAATAAAGAGAAAAATAAACAGAGCACTAAATGGTAAATTAAATGTGATTTAATAGTACTTAAGTCTTTAGCTTCTCTACACTGAACCCCACAGTTTCCATGCAAGCCCACTGCAGAACTCACTGAAAGGTTCACATGGCGCAAATAAGTTTGTCAATTTGAATAAACCAGACTATTCTGAAATACTACTTACAGGCTGATTAAGTTGTTTTTTGGGTGGTTTTTTTTTTGTTTTTTTTTTTGTAGGCTTGTGTGAATTTTTATTTATCACAATAAAGATCTGGAAACTAAGAAGCTGCAAGAAATTAAAAAGATCAAAACTATATCCAAGGATGATTTGCAGGAAGGAATAAATTAGGGTCTAACAATAGTTCTTCAGCAAGAACTACAGCACATTTCTTCAACCTGAGTATGGAGTTGGATTCTTTTAAAAGTGTTTCAACTATTGATATAAATATATCTGCTTTGTTCCTGTCTCTGTGTATCTGTAGCACTACAATGTTTATTGTGCATGAAACAAGACACATATGAAATTCTAGGAGACAGATTTGGTGGTTGGCAGGCTTAACTGATTGGATTTTCCACAGAGGAGAAGCAAAGATTACGTAAGTGCAGACAGTGGGACTTGCTCCTAAAAACCACCCAATTTGCCTCTTAATACTGAAGATAAAAAAGGTATTCTTGATTAGTTTGAAATAAAAAACAAGTATCTCCATTTTAAACAGTGGCATTAACAAATAATCTGACAGCCAATATTAAAATAAGAAGTGACTATTCAAATTCACAAATACAATTTAAAGTAAAATGAACCAGTTCCCAGTAACTGGGAGATACAAGGTACTCAATGCCATTTGGGAAAAAAATATTATCCTACAGTCTACCTATCAGATACCTAAATTTTAGAAGCAGATTATTTTGCCTTATTTAATGATTCATAGCTGTATGCATACAAATTCCTGAAGCTCAAATACTTTCATACACACGCCCAAACTGTAAAACAATAATTCTATTATGTTCTGCTACATGAAAATGGGACAATCATATGAATTCAACTTTTCTTAATGCATGCATGCATGCATTCCACAGTACTGGAAACTATCTCCTCAAATTAAATAATTATGCAGCTTTGCATATTCTTTATAACTAATCTAACTTAACACTATTTTGTCATTTAAAGCACACAAAAAGCAATTTTTCAACTAAATTTGAAGCCAGCCATACCTCACTTAAGATATTAAATCAGCAAAGCTTATACAACATATTCAAACTGTACACTTGGCTAAATATGAGGGAATTGTTACCTTTTTATTTAGCTTCAGCCAAGTTGAGTAGCCTTTGCTGTCCACGTACTGCAGCCCAAAAAACCAGACTTCACGAAGACCAACAGTTTTCACCACCTAAAGATAAATGAGCCATAATCATCAGTCATCACTACAACACATTTTTTTAACTGGCATTGAGTAGCTTAATAAAGCTACGTGAACAAACTGAAATGTAATCAAGTCTTACAAGAACAAAAAAAGATGAAATAGTAGCAAAACATCAAGTTCAGAGAACCCCAGAGTTCTAAATAAACTCAAACGCTCCAAGCTATCAGCTGGAGCGTGCAGCCCACTGTGTAGATCAGCACCTGAGGAAGAGAAGGTAGTAACAGGACCCTGAGGTTATAAAGCACATCTGGGAAGTGACCTGCAGCCCTATGGGGAAGTGAGTACACTTCAGCAGAAGACAACTGGTAAAATGATAATAAAGAGTAATATTTGTGAACAAGCATGACGTAATGAGGATGAACTGCTTCCTTCAAATAGTTCTGCCATCTTCTAAGAGTTAATGATAAAAGGGGTAAGGATGATCTCCTAATTTAACATACATGACTTTCATGTAAGATTTCAGATCAGGTCTACCACCAAAAACTACTAAAAAACAAAATTGTCCTTGACTAGAGGAAAGGCTGTTTTAGGGATGCACCACTTAAAAAGATGGACAAAAATCACAAGCTGTTTTCAATTTCACAAGAATTGTAGTGCAACCACAAGGGAAGTCTCCCAGGACTTCAAAAAAGGATGAAAATGATGTGACAAAAATCTGCTGTAAAAAACCTTACAGAAAGATCTGTGAGTAACAGTAAAAGGATGAACCTCAATAAAAGATCATATTCAATAAAAGCAAAACACTGTACATAAAAGATAACAATTTAAATTATGTGAACAAAGTTCTAGTTGTAAAGCAAAAAGGCAAGAAAGCTATTACATTACTATGCACATGTATGGTATTCACAAATCTCTAATTCTACATAAGGACTGATCACATCAACTTATAAAAAAGGATGCTGCAGCAATGGAAATGTGTCACAAATGTTGAAAAGAATGACCAGTGACTTGGAACATTTTTGGCATAGCTAAGACGAACTAGGGCTACTGACAGAGAAATAAGGAAGGCTATGATAAAGGTCTATAAAATTTGCATGGCATGTAGAAGGAAAATAGGGAATGATTGTTCATTATTTCTTATAACGTAAGAATCAAGAGAATCAACAGAAATCATGACATAGCAGGCTCAAAGCAAACAAAAAGAAGCACTTTTACTACAGAGTATAATGAAACTGTGGAACTGTTTACAAGTCTTTTGCACAGCAAAAGCATATGTGGATTTAATAAGCAATTAATCAGAAGGGTCCAGCAAAGATTATTAAATGACTGTAAACTCTGGCTCCAAAGATCACGTATGGTAGTACTTACATATGTCCTCAGGTTGGACCATGGTGCCAAGCTGCTTTACTGAAGGCTGTTTTATGGAAGCATTCAGATGCATGTGAAGTAAATAGAATTTTACACATAGATCCTCCTCCATTTTAAAGTAGTACTATCGGGTTGCAAAATTAAGATTTTGAAAATTAGAAAATGTCATAAAGTAACTATGCAAAATTACTTCTGCTGCCTTGCATATTTGAATAATCACTTAAAAACCATTCGAGCGTGCACCTTTTTTCCTCCTTTATCATTTCACCATCAAACTCCAAAGCACAAAACGGACAATGTTTGTGGATCCAGCCTGTTTGATGCCTTGACTGAGTATGGTTATTTCCTCTAGAATTTCCACATCATTTACTTTAGATCATAAGAAATGCTTAGAACAGGTCTATATTACTAGTATGGTCCCAAGCAGCATTAAATTTGATGCCCCAACTCAGGAATTTCAGACCTGCTGTTTCTTTTGGCACAGATCTCCTATACAACACTGATCAAACTACTTATGGCTTTATCAGATGACTGAGAATGCTCTTTACCCAGCAGCTGTCCAAGCTGAGCCCTTGTACCTTATCAGCTCTCTGAGCTGCACAGAACTGCAGATGCTCAACAGCTCTGCCCATAAGGCATAAGGAGACATGAGCATAAGTGCTTATGCTCACGTCAAAACATTTTGCTCTCAACCCACTAACTATGGCCCTGAGATGCACATGATTTAAATACATACAACCTGGGTACAGCAATGCACAGCTACACAAGTTTGCAAAATCAACACTAAAACCAGCAGAACCCACAAATAAGGAAAAAGCATTGCCTACACTGCCTCTCAGCTCAAAGGAAAGAAATAACCTTTCTGAAACTTTATACCGAGATAATACATGCATTTCTGCACTGCAGTAGCATGTTAATGAAAAGTAAGTAAAGAATGAAAAACTTAGGAGTTTGATTCTGGCCCAAAATGCTATTAAGTAGCTTCAGGCAAGTGTTCATCCCATCTGTAAAACAGATTTATCCACCATCACATCCTACAACTTGACTATTAATAGGCAATAAAAACTTCTCGGAAAAGAAAAGCAACCTGAACAATGTATGTTTGGGCAAATCACAACATACACATTAGACAACAAGGATTTCATATTGTCACCTTCCACAAGATTGTAAAGAAGGCTTTGGAGACATCTGGAGAGGACAATGGAAAAAGGATAAAGGAAAATTACAACATTAAATAAAGGAGACAACCCTCACATTCCTTCTGAATGGCAGCTACAGTCAACGAAATGCACAGTGCTAACGAAACAAAACAGCTCCCCCACAACTACCACCAGTGTGTGGAAACATCCTCACAGGGTTCTTCCTCTCTCAGGGAAGCTACAGATGCTTAACTGGTTGACTAGAGGAGGACAGATCAGAACATCCCTCTTGCATGCTCTGACCAGAGACAGGATAGACAGAGGGACCAATGATAAGTATGTTAGTACACCTTCTGAAATGCAAGTAATTAGGAAAAAAAAAAGCTTGTGCAATAAAGAAGAAGTTTACTGAGTTTGACAATGGAAGAGAAAAGAGATAGCCACAGATTTCAAATGCTGCATTCTTGCCTGCTAGCAGATGAAGATGATGAGAACATACATATAGAATGGGAAACAAATGAACAACTCCAGAAAATGCCAATTAAAAGCCTAAAAGAACACTGGCTGGTAAAAGATTGAAAGGTCATTCACCAAAAATGTAGGGGAGCACTAAATAACAGCTGAATCCATGGAGAGGTTATTTTCTGCAAACAATAACCAACTTGCTTGTCATATTCACCACTTCTGCATAAACCTTGAGGGCCAATCCTTTCAGTAACAGTGCTATTCAATTCTCTTTCTATAGAGAAACAAGGTAACTTTTTGTCTGGAAATTTCATGCTGGTTTCACAATACAGTTCAGCTCTTGATGTTACATGGTGGAACTCACACATGAATTTAAGATCAGACTAAAAAGTGTTTCTCACACACAACTACCCTGGTTGATTTTTCTTGACCTAAATTTTTTTTTCAGTTTAAAGCTCCAGAGGTAAGAATTGGTGTGATGTCAAACACCACACAGAGAACTAAGGAACAAAGAAGACAGCATGACAACAAATTCAAAACTGTATCTTTGTTTGCTGTTTGCAAATGCTCCAATTTGGATGAGCCTGATTACCTGGGCACAAGACATTACACAGCAGAATGTCACCCCACCCAACAGTGAATGGCATAAGATAGCAAAGACTGGCAAAAGACAAGTAACAGCTTGAGCCTTCTATGCCACAGAATACCATACTTTTATTTGATGATGGTGATGCTGGTTAGACAAAAAGCAAGACAGCCTCTTTTTTCAAGAAGTGTTTTTAAGAGTCATGAAGTTTATTCTTATGTAGGGGCTGAAGACCTACTTCATAGGTATACCCATATACTGCTACTGATGTTAGAGAAAAGGGCAGGCTGTAAGTGTTAAGAGTCAGTCATTTCAAACAAAAGCAGCAGAGGTGATTTCATTCATCTAAAAGTTCAGTATTAAAACAATAAACATTCTCTTCTTTTCAATCTATATAATAAGACATTTAATTGACTCTAAAAGGTCAACTAAAAGTTTAAAGAACTTTTTTGATGTGTTACTTTCTCTTAGTACTCATCATTGCGTATTTCAAGCATCTATAGTGGAATGGACAAAAACAACTACTAGGCAGAACTGTTGATCTATTAAACTATTTTTGAAGGGTAATTTCAGATATTTCCAGATTTCCTAAATAAAGGCATACATTTTGGATCTAGATAATAAAACATATTTATTGGTATCTTGTTGGAAAACAACATAACACATTGACAGGTCGTGACTATTTTTAAGGTTTCCTCAAACAGCCCACAACACAGCTCAAAAAAACTTGTTTCAAGATTCTGAAGACTAACATCACATGAGTGCAAGAACAGCCCTGTTTAAGAAATTGTTCACTTGGTCCATTTGACTGATGTATAACACACCATCAAGTGACAGTGTGAAGCTGTGATAGAATAGTTGAAAATGATGACCTTAATGTGCTTGTCATCTGCAAACCTTTCTTCCTTTTCTTTTTGTTTTAAACATAAAGTCCAAACTGGTTCACAGGACAACAGTATTTAGTTCTACCATTTGGGAAGTGAAAAACCATCTTACAGTATTTATTGCTGGAAAGCAATTGTGTTAGCTTTCATTAATGAACTTACTGTTACATACATATTTCTAAAATACGCAATTCTAACAACTATATTGCAGTAGCAATTATAATATTATTAGACATAAAAACCACAATTAACTTCAAAGCAGTCCCATACACAATTTATCCAAAGGCTCACTGGTACCGTATTTAGAGAGTTGTCTTTGAATTCAATGTGTTCCAGGAGAAGTAATGAGGAAATTCACACTAACTCAGAGCCTAGCTTAGATAACATAAGGAAAGCAGTCTGTACATGAGAACACTACCACTTTTTCAGACTATGCCTTAATAACCACAATACTCTTATGTGCTTGCACTTACATACATAGAGACATGTAAGTTACCTGGTCAAAGAGCTGCTTGCCTGTTGTATTGGGCTGGATGGCAAATTCCAACTCTGCATCCATTGTGGTTACTCTGACATTGATCTACAGAATAAAAGGAAACATTTAAATCATACTGTAACAGTGTAATGCTTCCATAGCCTTTAAGTTCAACATTTTAATGGTCTTGTGTACACACAGAACATAGCAGTAAGAAAAACAGAAAATTTCAATCTAAAAACTTTCTCATCGTTATTTAGTCTACAAGCATAATCAGCATAGTACTTACCCATAGATTGGAAGGTTAAATTAGAGAACAAAGCTCAAAATTAATTTTATGGGAAAGCTGACATCACTACTGAACAGCTGAAGAACATTGGGATATTGAGCTACTGTGCACTATCTTTCAGAGGGCTTCTCAAAAGCATGCAAAAGAAAAAGTTCTTGGTCACATATATGTCATTTTAAGGTATTTATGCCTAGCAATGTAAAAAGACAAGCAGCCTTCTGCTTACCATTTCTAAAATCAAGCAGTTTGGTGGTCAAAGTAGGCACTTTGACCAAGCTCTAGGACTAGACCTTGTTGTACATCTCAGGACAGATAAGAAGCAGGTTTTCACCAATGGAAAGAAAAACTACAGCAGTTAGCTCTCCTTAGTGCCAACCTCCTTCAACTCCCTTACTACAAAACTAAAAAATCTCCACCATTCAATGAACCTCCTTCTCCTGAAAGGGAGGACCATTTTCCAGATGACTCCTGACAATCACTGGGTTTATTTGTTATAAAACAAGAAGTCAAATACTGCAGGAGATAACTGGAAGCCTTACTTGGAAGTACAACAGTCTTTGCCAATTTCTCTTCAGCTGGTACATACAGAAGTGAGAATTTCCATGAAACAGAACAAAGTATTAAATGCACAGCATGGTCTGCTCAGTGTTAGAACAGTCCTCCAACTCCTACTGCCAGGGTATCAATCACATTTTATTCATCTTTAGTGCATAAGAATATAAGTATTAAAAGGTCAAATATATCTTCCTATAAATGCAGAAAAACCAAACTCACACAGATATATTCTAATTTCTCTCTACTGTAAAAAAGGGCAGAGGAATAAATTAGGACTTGTATTACAGGTTCTTACACTACTTGATCTATGCATGTGGAAACCATTTCCATTAACTATTTCCCTAATTTTGCCACCAGGTGGAATACTTTGAGAAGTGATTGTCTGGAAAAGAAGGAAAGACAACACATGGAAGGGAGATCTAAGGTAGGGAAAATAAAACTGCAGAGCAGTTTGTCTTCATGCAACAGATGAAGCTTGATCACTGCTCCCTTCATTGTCAAGGTAAACACGAGGGGGATATACAAGACAAGAATAGCAGGAGCCTGAGGACATCGAGGTTACAGACTTGCAAACAAGAATGATAGAGGGGGCTTAGCCAACTTTACTCTGTGTGCAAGCACTGATAAAGAACAAGAGTTGAAGACTTTGGAGTAAAAGATAGTTTAGTTTTATTGCAAAAAAAAAAATTCAAAAAAATAGAGGGTGTGTGTCAGGAAGAGGGAAAAAGATGTTTTCTGTAAATTCTCAGTCTCTTTATTTCAAGAGAAGAAAAAAAGCCCTTATGGAATATAATTCATCTAACAAAATAACTAATTTTAAATGGTAGTTCTAACTCACTGCCAGTTACACTAGTTTAAGCATGAGGGATTGCCCCTTAATTACAAAAAATTAACTTTTAAAGCCAGTTTTTTACTGAAAAAAATGAAACCTTCTTTAGGGCAGTCACAAGTAAGCAAGGTACAAAGAATAAGGCCAAAAAATAATTTTATTAAATGCCAAAGTGCTCTGTTATATAACAGCACCATTGCCAAAACAAGAAGCATCACAGATCTACAAAGCACAGCAAGTTCAAAACTAATTGCAGCAGCAAAAACTTCTTATATAAATATCCTTACTACAAATGTCATCTACAAATGCAAGAAATATTACCTGAGAGTTTATCCTTCACAAGAACTAGGATACGCAAACAGTAAAATAATAGCTGTAATACAGAGACAAACTCAATACAGCTCTAAATTCTGTTTGCTTCTGGATATTACTGCCCCAAAAAATCTGAGTGCTCTAACAGTACAGAGCTTCTACACCTCCAACAGGTACAAAGAGGCATTAAGAGTACCTAGCCACTTCTACACATTACAGTAACTGCTTAAGCCTGCAGCATTTCTGTTTATCTTTGTACTTCCAATTAACAGATCACTCAGCTGCTAATCAATATTTACACATTCAGTTCTAATAAAAAAGTTGCAAATTAAATGATGGTAATGTTAAAAAATTACCTTTTGTGGTTTGAATTATTGAAGAAGAGACAAAAGTTAACACTACAGTTCATTTTCTTTCTGAAGGAATTTGAACTGACTTTGATTTTTGGCATACAAATACCAGGCTTCTACAAACTTGTAACATTGTTTCACACCTTCAATTGTTTCTGGGCATGGAACATAAAGTTACTTTTGTCAAAACCTGAAGAGCCCTGAAGGTCTACTTATCCAATTCAAACCTTGATAACAGAGCACCCTCTCAACAAAAATCAAACCTCTGGTACCAGTTGCATTGTCTGTAAAATAAAGCTGGCAAACTACATTAACAAGAGTCATTGGGGAAGTTTCCACATCATAAATATGGCAGGGAATTGAGAAAACACAGGCAGAGAAAGAAGGTCCAGGAGCTTCAGCAATGATCTGTCACTCACACAACCTCTGCTGCATCTCTGGCTACTTTGACACAATGCTCTTTCCGTGGGGAAATTATCTGAACCACAAATTACAAGGACAGTCACTAATCTGAACCAACTTTACCACACAAATACAGAAACAGGAAGGAGCTCTTGCAATGGTGACAAGAGAAATGCATGAAGGCTTCCTGTAGCAAGTATTGGAAGGCTACCACTACGCATACCACAAGATTCATTCAGTGCCTGCTTTTCAAACTTGCTCTCACCAGGATCCCACATCTTTGTTACAGAATCTGACAGGTCCCTTCCTCACACAGTTCAGCCAATTACCATCTCAAGTTTGCATATTAAATAGAATCACAGAATAGTTTGGCTTGGAAGGGAAACTATTTAGGTCATCTTTAAAGGTCATCTAGCTCAACCCCCCTGCAACAAGCACAGACACCTTCCCCTACATCAGGTTGCCCAGAGACCCATCCAACTTGACCTTGAACCTTTCCAAAGATGGGACGGGACATCTACCACCTCTCTAGGCAATTTTTAGAGTTTCACCTCCTGCATCATAAAAATTTACTTACTTTTATGTAGTTTGATTCTTTTATATCCTTTTAGCTTGAAACCATTAGCCTTGTCCTATTACAACAGGCCCTGATAAAATGTTTGTCTCCACCTTTCTTATAAGCTCCCTTTAAGTACTGAAAGGTGACATTAAGGTCTCCCTGCACCTTTCTCTCCCCCAGGCAGAACAACCCCAAATTCTCTCAGCCTTTCCTCATAAGGAGGGATGCTCCATTCGGCAAACTATTTTTGTGATCCTCCTCTAGACGTGTTTCATCAGCATCATGTCCTCCCTGTGCTGGTGCCCCAGGGCTGGTGCAGCCCTGCAGGTGGGCTCTGAGCAGAGCAGAGGGGCAGAATCCCCTCCCTGGCCCTGCTGCCCACCATTGGATGCAGCCCAGGACACGTTTGGCTCTCTGGGCTGTGGGAGCACACTGACAGCTCATGGCCAGCCTCTCATCCATCAGCACCCCCAAGTCCTTCTCAGCAGGGCTGCTCTCCATCTGTTCATCCCCAGCCTGTGTTGACATGGGGGGATGCCCAACCCAGGTGCAGCACCTTGTACTTGGCCTTGTTGAACCTCAGGAGGTTCACACTGTCCCACTTCTCGAGCTTGTCCAGGTCCTTGGCATCAGCAGCAGACTGAGTTTATCTGTATTTTACCAGACTTGTTTCAGAATGAATAAACATGGCCAAAGGAAAGGGAAAACATACACTTAAGAATTACACGTTGATTATTCTTTGCCAAGGGAGCAACTGATGTTTTGATAACAAATATTGCTAATGGGTTATGAGGATATTTGCCACAGCTCACAAAATACCATTTATAGAAAATATTCCACAGCAAATTATCTATTAAATAATTTATCAAAACCAATAAAGAGTACAGTCATTGAAAATATCTGGAATAACAAACACAGATGTGCTTAATAAAAGCCAGCACTTCATAAGGGAATTATATTTTTATTGCATGCATTCTTTCACCTTTAAGGACTTGAAAAAGTATGTCTACATTTTCTTTTAGTACCTAACTTCAACCCTTCACAATTTATGGGACTATTACACCGTCACTGCATTAAGCTTTGAACCTCTCCTCAAACTGATACAGTCCATGAAAAACGCACAAAACCTGGTTGTAAGCTTAATAATCTAAAACTTTATCTTACTGTACTTCAGCCATCCTTTGCAAATATTAGTTATGGCACTTCATCATGAACTCCAAAACTGAGTCAATACCAATACTGAGAAAAAAAGGCCATTTAAAATAACATGGAAATGGTTTCCAGAGGTTTTGCTTTGGCTTAATGAATTCAATACAAATTAGTCATTTGTAAAACCACAAAAACCAGTCTGATTTGTAAGAAAATTGCATATGGCAAAAAAAGTTTGTTCAAAGAGCTCCCTCACACCGGTTCAGCCATTTACAATCTCAAGTTTGCATATTAAATTGTGTTAAGAGTAGCAGTGTATTAGTCCCACTGCTTCACAGACTGCACAGCACTCTCTCAATACTAACATCAAAGTAGATATAGGAAGAGATGAAAGAAAAAAACTTTATGAAGAAGGTAAGGTAAAAAGGTAAGGATTAAACAGCATTAAGAACAGAAGGCTACAGAATAATGCCAAACAGATTTTACTAATAGATGAATCAAGAAAGCAGTCCGCCAAGCTGACATCAGTTGTCTATTTATACTACAGAAATAAATCATAAATTCAAGCCATAATTCAAATACTGCATTACACAGACTCAAAGATTTTCCTGTGTAACAACAGCACTGTAGTAAAAAAAATTTATACACTATTTCGGTTCAACCACCTTACAGAAATTAGTTTGAGCTTGCAAATATTAGAATTTTAAACCACAACATTATTCCAGAATTTGTTATTTATTCCTTCTGAATACACAATATCATAAAATGTTGAATAAACCTAAAAAAAAATCCTTTTTAGTCTTAGTAACTTTGACATCTATCTCTGTTATTCCCCAGTGTAATGCTTGCTTGCTTTCATGCCTTGCAGTCTTGTACAAAAGTGCTGCAAATTATCACCAAAACCAGATGATAATTTAACTCTTTCTACACCCTATAAATACAATATTTCAGTCAATTAAATCTAATCTTCTTAGCATATGAAATGATTAACAGTTATGTAACCCGTGATGTCTAATTTTAGCTTCTATGTTTCTATTTTCAGTGCTGATCTGTGAGAATGCCGTAGAGCTGAGAAACATTTTGTATCTGTTCTTTTAGGAAGAAAGCACTGAAAATAAGAGTCAACAAATATTCTGTTCTTCAGCAAGCTGAGAACTAAGCAGACTGAGAACAGCACTTGCAATAGCTCAAATTTTGATTACAGCAACAAAGACGTAATTAAACAAAGAAGTCATCAGTTTTATTCAGATGGATCACATCATGCTACATGCAACTAAAATTCACACTGCTAGGTAGAACTGAGAACACTAAGTCTCTTTTAGAAACAAACTATTTGGTTGTAAAATCAGAGTAGATGCTGAGTAACAGTTGAAAAACTGGAAAGCCACTTTGTCACAAACGCAGGCAAAAAGAAGGAGCAGACTTTCTACTGAAGCAATCAAAAATGAAAATGTTTCAATTATGTATACTTTTCAGTCACATATTACCTTAGTATTCCAGGACAATGTACTAAAGTTGCTTTTACCCTTTCAAAACCGCCTTTTCACCCAAACTATTTAACCTACTATCCTCTAAAAAAGAAAATCCAAAACCCATGCCCTTTTACTGCCATGTATAAGAATCATTCACAGTGGCATGAAACTTATTTCAGACTGAGACTTCCAAGAAAAATGAAAGATGTTTGCTATAAAATTCCAATACTCTAAGACTTTCTAGTGGTCTTCATTTACTTTATTTTGTCTGGAATAATACATAACTTTACGATGTGAAACCAGAAAAAGTGAAACCAAAATCTATTTAATTGCCTTTTCTGTGGGTACTGATTTCATTTAAATTGATTTATGGCTTATTTATTTGTTATTTTCTCAACAAAAAAATTAATCCCAGAAACCCAGGAAGAGTTTATAGTTGTACTGCACAGGTTTACATATTTACAAGACTACCAGACGCTTCTGAAAACTATCAATTGGATCATCACAGCAGAGTGTGAAAAAAGAAAACCTAAGTAGGTCACAGTAATACAGAAGAGATAAAATAACATTGTCAAAAATCTCACCACTTATGTTAACTGGGTTTTCTTAGCTTTTACCTATGATATTTCGTTAGTTTTCAGGTTAAATGATTTCCAGCAATAAAGCTACAGAACACTGACTGTCTTATTGCAACAACTGTCAAAAATAAGCAACAAGGAGTTAGGGCATAAATAGTTTCTGGACTAGAAGTGCATTTGGTTATTGTGGATTGTCCATAAAGACAGCTCCCAAGAGCTCCAGTAAATAACCATAGCAAGAGACCTCCTACTGTCCAGTACTATCAAATCTGAGCAGAACAGCAAGACTCTTCAAAGAACAACGTCAGATTCATTAAACATAACCATGGCTAGGCTCTTACAGTCTCCAAAGAAGAAAGAAGGGGGAAAAAAAAAAGAGAGGAGGGGGGAGGAAGAGAGCTCCAACGCCACCTATCATTTAAGAAGCAACCAGAACAAAATCTGAGGTTTGATTTTTATAGGTAATACTATTTAACCTTTGGCAAGTGTGCTATTTCTTCATTCACTGATTACCAAATATAATTACAGCAACCTGCAGTTTACAGGAAGACACTGAGAAATGTAATCAATTTCATTTCATTTATAATGGCTCCTTTCACTTGGCTTCCTTCTAGGATTTCACATGCACCCACATCATAAGAGACACATGAACTCTTCATAAAAAGTCCCTTATAAAAAAAAATATATCTTTGGCACAAGGCCAGCTTCTTTGCCAAGATCTGGTAGCTAATATCCATTATTAGGGTGGACTGTGCACTTTTTCAACACCACTGCAATCCCAGTTCTAAGGCTATTGCTCTCCTCGTGAGCAACCCTAAAATTCTTATTTCCTTCAATTTTCTCTGGTCCTTAAAATAGCAAGAACCCTGCCTGCCTAAATTTCATGGTTCCAGTCCCAGAATTTAAAAAGAAGTTACCTCATCCAGGCTTTTTTTTTTTTCCCTAGTCACGACCTCTGTGGCTCCATGGGTCTCCAGCTGCATGGAGCCGAAGGCCTCACAAACTGCATGAGCTCACAATGACTTTTTGCCTCATTCTTAAAACAAAGTTTTCCAGTTGAGAAGCTCCATCAAAGGCAGTATACTCAATTCTCATAGCCAGCATTCAAACAGGTCAGAAAATAGTATGCTGCTAATTCATTTTCCTGCCCTTTATAGTGCAGCTTTCTCCCACCAATGAGCAGGATAGACAGCTACTTCCAGCTCGAAAAAGTGCCAAGAAACTGCCCCTAATCCACTGGCAGGAAAAGAAGAAATTACAGAAACAAGGTATGACCAGTTGGTCATCAGATCAACTGCCAAGCTCAGAACAGAACTTTGAGCCCTTAGTCCCATGCTCACATTATTCATCGAGCTGTACTAGTTCCAAATACTGGCACACAAAACTGATTATTTACAGGGGTAATTTCTTATTAATAGCAAAAACCTTTTATGCATCTACATATCGGGATATACGTGTATACACATGCACATAGACACATTTATTCTTAGCAACAGACCTGCCCTGCTCCTAATCTGCTACCAAAATGAAACATCAGTAAACAAAGAAAGCCCAAAGGCTATTACATAAACCAGCCGAGTTGAGTAGAAACAACCTGACAATTCAGTTCCCTTTCTGAATGCTTTTCTCACTGGATACAAGTGGAAGAGACAAGCAAAAGTCATTTAACACATGGCAGATGAAACCCTAAGGTAGCAATATAACATTACCAGAAAAAGAATCAACCTACTGAGTAATAATCTCCTCAAAGACTTCTAGAATTATTATCAAAACAGAAGATGAAGATCTTTTTTTCCCCCAGGTAGAAAGTGGATGAATCTTTATCTTAGCTGAAATGAGCAGAACAGGAGAGCAGAAACTCTGCTTATTTCCTCCATTCAAACTTACTTTCTATGTGATACCCTCTACCATGGTAAAATCATTAACTTAGTGCGGACACTTTACACACGTTCTGTCTTCCCCTGCCAAATCCTGCACCAAACCCTTCCACTGATTCTCACAGATACTGAGTCAGGCTCAAATTATACCTCAAATAACTACTGTAAGTAGCTCATTGCAAAGTCAACAATTCCTGAAAAGTCATTCCTCCTGCCAGCCAAGAGGGCTTCAGGTACTGCTCCCATTTCCAATTGTCCTCCATGCAATTTACAGTACCAAGCTTTCTGGATCTTTTTTTCCACATGTTGGTACTAAACTGTCTCAGCTTCAATTGTACAAGATCAAATCTTACGAAATCTAGAAAGGGCAGAGTCAAAACAATTAGAACAGTTAAGATTATCTCGCTAAAACATAAAAACCTTCCTAGATTTTAGATGAATATAAATCTGCTACTTACTGGTTTCGGCATTTTTCTTGTTTTCTGTAGTCTCCTGTTCACTTAAATCTTCCAAAAACTCTTTGCCCCTTCTGCCAAAAATAAAATTAAGAGGGTTGTTTTTAAATGAATCAATAATCACAGTAAATAGTACAAATTCCTATACAAGAGCTCTACATGTACAAAACACACTTCTCAGAAGGTGACATCTAGAAAGAGCAACTAATTTAGCCAGAGCCAGAATCTACACGTCTCTAAGCAGTAACATCCTTCCTAGTTTCTGTAGAACATTTATGCAGTAATGTTACCATAAAGAGACAACAGTTTCCCCAAAGTGCTACAAATTCTTTTAAAGGTTCTGTTATCATACATCATTGACTATTAAAAACCTCTAACATTATTTACAAGAAACATCATAAAGACAAAAAACCCGCTCTAATAATTTTAAAGCATCAAAACTTTTATTTCCTACTTATAAAATAATTTGCTTCTCTCAGCAAAAGAACAAAAGTAATTTTTTCCAAATTAAAATAAATGCAAATACACCAACAGTAAAAAAGAGGAAGAAATTCTGCTGTGCTTAAAATAACACTGATTTTTTCTTTTTAAGCAGAAGACTATAAGTTATATCTATGTGGTGATGAAAGTATTCACTATTATTTTCCGTTCCAAAAAAAGTTTTTATGCTTTGAAAAAATATGCTTGCAAAGTTATTGGGAGATATCATCCTACCTCCTTTTCAACTCCTTCTAACTTAGAGCAAGCAGCTAGTCACCTTCCTGCACACATTTACAGTAATGATTTCCACAAATCAGACTGTTGCTGGTTTGCAAGGAGCATCACAGACTGCACTGTTTTCAAAAATAATATTAACTGGAATTACTCTTATACAAAGAAAAATGACTGTGACATGCTAGTCAGAATAATCCGAGATTTCAGTATTATAACTCCACAGCTACAACAGATGAATAAAATCTTTAGAAGTGCTTAAAAGAAAGCAAGAGAAAAACAGAATACTTGAGAGCGATCCAGTTATCAAAACCAAGCTTTTGTATAACTGATCTTTCATTCATAAGGAAAAATGAAAAAATAAAGTATTTTTACAAAAAAATTAAAGAATAAAATTTTCCCTGCTTCTTGGCAATAAAAATACAGTAAATATTAGAAACATTTGCACAGCAATTTAAGGTGCATTAGCACTTTATTTTTTATTTCTTCTTCTAATCTGTAGAGATATGTTTGAAAATGGGCTAAAAAAAACATGAAAACAGAACTTAAGAAGCATAATTGTTGTTGGCTGGTAAAGAAAACAAATGTTAAGACTAAAGATTACAGAAACAGAGATCTAATGGCATAATTCAGATATGGAACAAAACTGGTGTTTAACAAAAAATCAGCCTGGAAACATTAAAACACTATCCTAAAGTTACATTAACTATGCTATAACTAATCCAGCCTAACTCTAAAGGTATAATAATACTCTGTTTGCCTAGCGTAAAGACAATTACATTCCAGCAGATTTTTTTAATTACAGAAGATACTCTAGAGAACTGGACAGTATCAGTCATGTCCCAAATGCAGGCTCGCTGCCTGATGTGCTGTGCCAATTCACACACTGAGCCAAGGCATCTCCATTTCTTTATTCTGATCTGCTCAGAGCAGGGAGCTGGGCAGGAACCCACCAAAGGCTGGCACCCCCATCATCCAAACTTCACACCTTTCATACATTTTAGCAAGCAAAGAAGTCATGTTTTATTGGCTACAGGTCACATGGCTCTCTTCTTGAACAACATTTTACCTTCTACTGGTTCAATGATTCTCTCATTTCTGCCAATCACTCCACATGCTCAGCCATTCCCCCCTGGAGTCATGGGCTTAGGGAGCCAGCAGGCCCTGAGTTGTGGTCACAGTCACCCCTGCCAGAATTACGTTTTCTCCACTTGGAGCTGGTTCAGCACAGTTGCCGAGTTGGCTTTGTCTGTTTTTCCCTTATCTTGGAAGTTCTGCCAAACGCCCTTGTGGCTCGTGAATTCTGCATTCCCTGTGCCCACTATCAATGGAACATCTTTCTTCCAAACTTTGCTAACTTTCCCCTGGGTCTGAGATGGCTGAAGAGTGTCAAGCCCCAAACTTTAACAAGGCAATTCTACTGGCAAGTCATTTATCTTTCTAACACCTGGACATCAGCAGTAAGACTACTGTTCTAAGATACTGTTAAATATATCCTTGAACATTATGAATACACTTTTCCTCTATTCCCCCCCTCTGCTTTTAACCACAAAAGCTTCCCGGGGAGAAAGAAAAAATTGGCTTTTGATAAACTCTGGCTTTTGTTAAAAATTTAACAGCATGTTTCCCTTTCAGAGAAGAGACTGCCTCCTCTTCTCCCTTCTTTCCCTAATGTACACCTTGGAAAAATTCAAGAGAATAACAGAAACCAAAACAAGCTTGGCTCCAATATCTGCTAACAGTTAGTAGTAGTAACTGTAGTAATCCCTGTGCTCACCTCTGACAGCAGAGGTTCAATGCTTGAAAAACTGAAGGCAGATTGAAGCCCTAGAGTTACACTCAGCTAATTAAGGATGCAAAAGCTAAATTAGATTCTCATCCACCATTTTGTGAGTGTGCCAACTCAACAGTGCCAAAAGGAACAGAAAGTAGCACAGCTACCTTCCTGTGCCTTTAGTTACAGAGCACTGAAAAGAAGGGGTATGGTAAGATGACTGATAAGGGAGTCCAGTCTCCAGGAGAGCAATGACAGCACATGGCACAGGACCAAGATCTGTGTTATCAAACTATTCCTTTCTGAGGTCTTTCTAAGAGACAACGTGTCTAGCAATTTCTACAATGACTGTCATACCCTCATACATTTTATCACCACAAATTCATTCATAAACATGTCCCAGATTTTTGCTTTGGGATTTACTCAAACATTTTGCTATAATACTACCAACAAACCAAAAATTATTTATTTGAAAACTTACTTTAAAACCTTAAGTTAACTTTTAAAATCAGAAATGTGACTACAAAGTTTTACAGGTTAATCCTATGTCATCAAACCACAATTGGGAGACATGTTTTCACGTGCAAGAGAACAAAGTTAACAGCAAAAAGCAAGAGTCCTCTTAAGTAAAAAATAAAAATGAAGTCTCACTGTTAGTCCCACAGACCTCACGGGCCTAAGAAATTATCACAGTATAAGAGAAACAGAAAAAAAATAAAATCTATTTACAAACAAACAGCATCCCATGTATTTTTTGTTGAAGTGTCTGCATGCAGTATATTTTATAAATGTAAAAAAAAATCTATAATTTCTTTTTTTAAAATTTAGCCAAGTATAAATAAAAAATATAAAATAAAGTATAAAAATATAAAATAAAGTATAAAAATATATAAAATAAAGTATAAAAATAGCCAACTGTGCTGAACTTATTTCCATTGTTTTCATTTTATATATAATACGAAAAACCAACCTGTGTCAGTCTTACAATATATAATACAAAAAACAGCCTGTGTCAGCCTGAATATGTTTTCATATTCAAAACACTGTGCAATTTTGAAACAGTACAGTCACACAAATGCATTGTAACTATTATATTTATATAGAAATCAAGAAGATCTTAAAACTGCAAACATTGACATCAAATAAGCACTGAATAGAAACCAAAAATCATCCTATCTTTCCCAATCATTGGCACCAGCTAACATTAAAAACAAAACATGAGAGAAACACTGGGCCAAAAGAAACCAAAAATTGCAGCCAGGCAAAATATTGTGTATCTCCACTGTTATTACTGGAGTGGCAGTTCGCTTTTGCTACTAATGCCAGTTCAGATAAATTTATATTTAGCAGATGCCAAATTCTTAACTTTGAAGCAACTAATTACTTACACTTACTTTAATCTTAACACTCATGGGAAATGGCATTGCAAATAGTGGGGAAAAAAAAAGCCCTAGCAAAAAAGACCCCAGCCAGCTGGGATTGGGAATGATATTCCTTTTGATTCCTGCATTCTGAAACCAGCTTGTGACCTACAAGGCATAAAGGCTCATCACTTCAGCATTTAAAATCCTAAAGGTCCCTCTTCCAAGTCAGGATTAACAGGGCTGTGACTTTGCCAACTTCCTACTGCTATAACACTCAGGACCTTCAGAAGTATATGCAGTAATGTGGACTTTGGACCAAAGCAACAAAAGTATCAGCAGGCTCCACAGCACAAACAGATAAAAAAAGTTATCCAGAACATCAAGAACTCTCTTGAAATGAAAAGCTGTGATTTCAATTAGTTTCACTACAAGGCAGTTGAAATTTTTAAATCAGTATCATCCAAGTTTTGAGTTATGCCACAGAAAGCAACAAATAAAGCAATTGTTGAAAGATGACAATGAAAGCTTTCTTCAGAAAATGATGGTGCATAAAATGCCTGATGCCAAAATTCTGTCAAATAATTTATGCAGCAGCTGTTTTCAAAAGAAACATTCATAGACACAGCCATGGGTCTGAGGTCAGGTGAGGATGGGATTGCAGGCAGAAAGCTTGAGCAGGATGCTTGGCTGGTAGAGAAGCAACACTCAAAAGCAGGATCCCTGTCTGATAGCTTAGGGCCTTCTCTCAGAAGCAGCCCCTCCAGCAGCATCCCTCCTAAGCTTGAGCAAGAGGTTTACCATCTGTTTCCCTAAATACAGATAGATGTCAGGGACCACAAAGCTTTACCCACAGCAACATGATTCACTCATTTATTAACAGAAACTTATTTAAAATTAATATACTCCTTTTCAAAGTCTTATCCCATTCCATTTTTTGTGGTACCTAAAAGTTTTAGATCTTTGCGAGGGAAGCAATAGGCAACTCACAGGCCATTGGACCTGACTAACTGGTCTCAGATTTCTACAAAAATGTCTCTCTACTCCAAAGCAGTCTGTGAATGTCTGCAGGGCAATCATCTTTCACACTAACAGCTCCCTAATGACACACTTGCTGCAATCCAATAAAGAAGTTCATTTGCCACAGACTTTACTTCTGCATACATCTTTTTCAGACGGACAGAGCGACCGCCTACACAGTTGTCTGCAATATAAGCAAACCAGGGCGGGAACTAAAACAAGACATTTATCTCACCAAAAAAAAAAAAAAAAAACAAAAAAAAAAAAAAAAAACACCCCAACCAAAAATCTATCCCTGAATTGTACACCTAATATGCAAAAATTGAGATTTGATCAGTGCATATACTGTATCTTTCCCTTCTTAAAACCACTATTTCCCCCAACCCTCCCCGAAACACCCAAAATAGGCTTGCTGTGTCTGAAAAATAACTGCAATAGAACTAGTACGACTTATGTATTCAATGTATCTATAGGAAAATACATTTTGAAGAGTTAGCATTTCTTCTAAACTGGACTTCCTGTCAACTTCAGAAGTAAAATGAAAACCTGGCAGTTGCCAATACAGTATTCAATTAAAAGCAACTTCATACCAGTCAAAGAATATTTCTGCACTACTTGCAGTTTTGCCAGTTCATAAACTGGTATGTTTTAGACATGCTACATGATTTACATACACTTAATATTTATTGAGTTTAGTAACCTTAACTTCAAGTACCCCCAAATGCACTATAGGAAATAATTCAAGGATTCTGAAGAGTCCTACAATGATAGAAAGGCCAATCTTACCATTGGATGCACCATCAAAAATGGAAATCATGAATATAAACTGATAGAAGTACTGTAGCTTCCAAGTGCAATAATCCTCTCTCTAAACATACAGTTAGCAAAGAAATAGGACATGTACCCAGAATTTTGGGTATATCTCATCTCAAAGTCAAGTACTATATTTTATGAATGATGCTGTTAAGTCTCTTACAACCAGTTCCATAGAATAAAGGAAACCTATGAACTGGCCACTCACCATTCTCCATATGAACTAGCTAGAGTTCTTAAACTGCAATGTACTCGTGTAAAGATTAACTGCCTTTTTGGGCCAATGTCATATTTCTTTTTCTTTGTACTACATGACTTGAAGGTTTCACTTCACAGAGTGATTAATAAATATCTAAGGCAAAAGAAAGCAAAGAAACATTTTTTATATTCAAAGTACAGCTAAGTATTAGCCTATTGGTACAGTTAGCCAACAAATGCAGTTCTTTGGTGTTGAAAGGAAAGAGTTCACCTAGGCTCCTTCAGCTCTGGAGTAAACTTGCTGAGCATGCAGGATACACTGGGTGCTGCTTTAATGGATCAGTATCTTTCCACAATCAGTTCTTTCTCCAGAAGTTTGTATAAAAGCTTTGTTTACATTTACAAACTTGAAAATCCTCCCTCTCCTCTACTCCCACAGACTTATAATGCAATATAAAGCGATAGGACAGCTTTGATGTATTTAACACATCCAAGAGAAAGACATCATGCCTACAACAACTTTCCTCTTCACCTCTGGCAACAGAGGCAGCCCTTCTCAAAAAGTGGAGCGAGGCTGCTGAAGAAAAAAGGCCGTTCACCTATCCTGGCAAAGGCTAAAGGAACCCTGCCAGGAAATGCCTTCTCACGTCATAACATCTACATGTCTTACCCTCCTGGTTTTGCAGCTCGTAGGTGGATCTAAATCCTCACTCTCTTTACAGCTTTACCCAATTTTCTGTGAAACAACCTTTTTCTGGCAGGACTATTACCATAGCCCTGCAGTGGCAGAAACAGAGCAGAACTCTTTTTGTCATCTCTACACACACTTTCACCCCTTTTCTTTGAGTCAGCATTCAACAAAAACTCTCTGGACAGCTCCAGACATGTCACACCATGTCATTATTTCATGCATTTTCTAAAGATGTTCCGCTTTTGCTCTCCCAATTTCCCAAGCTAGTAGAACAACTGTGTCACTTGAGTACAAAGCTTGGAAATACGCCACTGCCTTGCAATTGCCATTTGCTGGGAGGCTGCTTATCTGGGAACACTGCACTGACTCGCAGTTTATTTTTCTCACAGCCCCTCATGCTAAATCAATAGATCAATAGAGGCAAGTCCTATAATCTAACAAACAGTTGCTACTTGTGCCATCTTTAACGATTAAAAACCAACTTCATGGCAGCAGCCATAACGTTACCGTACAACAACTCCACATCTTCTCTGGGAGCACACGTTGCCCAGCAGCGCTGTGCCAACGCACCCAGGGCTGACAGCAACAACCGCATCTCCACAATCTTCTCCATGTGCGAGGCGCTGCGCAGGCACACGCGTCCCCAAAAACGCTCCCGTGGCACAGACACGGCGACAGGCATCGCCGATGGAAACAAACCAGAGAGACATGTAGCGATACATCTGAAGCCTGACCCGAACCGGCCACAGAGGCTGAACTACATAAAACTCAGAAAATGCCACTCCCGTAACTCAGTTTGAAAAAACTGAATCTTTTTAAAAGCCTGTACTAGAAAGAGGAACACGAAATACTTGTCTAGGGTGTTAGACAGACTGGAAAAGACAGCTTAACAGCACCTTACAACCAAAGTGATTAGTTGTGCTGGCATGGAGTCCAAAGAGATTTTTTTTTTCGCGTTCAGATTAAGAAACTGACAAAAGACAAGTGAATTCCACAAAGTTGAAACTAAAACCCCTTATCTGCGCTAAACTTTAAGCGACAAGGTTAATTACAAATGCCCACGACTTCTACAAAACATTAATCCATTCAAAAAAACAATGCACAAAGGCTCATTCAGGGCCGCTGCGCCCATTACGTCGGTCAGTACTTAAGGACTCTTAAAAACGCGCATTTGTCGAAAACAATAGACAGCAACAGATGCTCCACAGCACTTGTTTATGAAGTAATTCCTTATTATTCTCCCACACCGCCGCACTCAGCTGGCCCGACCCGACTGCCACATGTCTACTACGGTGTAACCTGCCGAGCCGCGCCGCTCGGGGACATGAATAATGCAGCGGAGGCTGCGCGGGCACGCCGGGGGCGCGCTCCCGGGGCCCCCCGACAGAGCGAGGCGAGCCGGGGCTCGGCGAGCCGGGTCCCGCTCCCGGGCGGAGGCGGTGTCCCGCACACGAGCGGCGCGGTGCCGCGCTCCCGCCGCCGCAACAAGTCGCCCGGTGCCCCCCGCCCACCGAGGGCTACGGGCGGGCTCACGCCTCGGGTTGCCGCCCCCGCGCTGCCCTCCCGGAGCCCCGCTGGCGGCCGCCCGCGCACCCCCCGCCTCAGCACCCCGCCTCACCTGGGACTCCGCTCCCTCCGCGGCGCCGAGCGGAGGGGGGCGCCGAGCCCCCGGGGCAGGGTGCTCGGGGCGCGGCGCTCTCCGCTCCTGGCGGGGCGGTGTGTCCCCCCCGCCGCCCCTCGCAGCGGGGCAGGAGGCGCTGCGGGGCCGCCCCGCGCTGCTCGCCGGAGATGCGGCGCGGAGCGCGGCGGGCGCTGTGACAGCTCCGCAATATGGCGGCCGCCGCCGCCGTTCGGATTTTCCCCCCTATCAGATGTGGCTCCTGCGCTCGCACTGCGCACGCGCGGCGCGGGCGGGCGGGCATGCGCGGCGCGCGGCGCGAAGCCGGTGCCCGGAGGGGCGCGGGGGCGGCGGCCGCGAGGGGCTCCCGTGAGGGACGGGGACAGCTCGGGGAGCGCGGCTCCTGGCGGTGGGGGACGGAGCTCCCGTGAGGGGACGGCGGGGCGAGCGCTTTCCTTCTGAGACCGCAGGCCCCTCCGTACGGGTTGCGCGCCCCTCCGCGCGCCTCGGCGGAGCCGGTGCTCGGGGACCCCGCGCAGCCCTGCCGGTGTCATGAGAGCCTGTGGCAGCTGCTGCAGCGGCAGAGCCGCCGGCCAGAAGCCCCCTGCTCGTTTGAGTGAGGAGGGGATGAGGAGAAGCAGCTCTCCCGTTAGCGCGGGCGGGAAAGGACAATCTCAAAAAAGGCTTCAGCCAGCGAGGGGGAGTTGGCGGCGTGGTTTGGTTGGGTTTTTTTGGTTTGTTTTTTTTTTTTTTTTTTTTTTTCCGTCCAAAGCCCCGCCAGGCATCGTGCCGCCTTTTAGGCAGGCGTGTGCTCCGGGTGCGGCGGGAGGCCGGGTGTCTCGGCAGATAGGGTGGCTCGGAGCTGGCGATGCCACCGCCCCGCGGTGCGGCGGGCAGCACCGGGGTGAGCGGTGAGCCAGGGCTGGGAAGGGTCGAGCTGTGATGGCTCATGAGAACAGGGATGCCTTCAGGGAAAGAGCATGGAATGCAGTCTGAGTGGAGAGCGCTGACCCTCTTCTCCTTCTTATCATCGCAGTGATGGGCGTTCTCTCTTTTTTCCATCACTCAGTCGTGTGAAACAGTCACGCTGGTGGACGGGATCACACTTTTTTTTTTGATATTTTTCTCCTTTTTTTGTATACAGTCACAATGGGAATGTAGAAGAAAATAGCAGTGAGGAGAATCCTTCTGAAGGACAGAGAGGTTGAGGCAATCCCAGCCCCCACTGTGCTTTCTCAGTTTATTTTTTTTGCAAGGAAGTGAAGGTGCTCCCGGAGCTCAGTGGCAACCCAAGCAGGGAGGCCAAGCAGCAAAGCTCAGTGCAAAGAGATCCACTCGAGCTACCAACTCTGAGTCATGCAGCTGCTATTAATACACCTCACCCTCTGGCTGTCTGATAAAGAGAGGTTGGGGGAAGGACTATGAGGAATTTTCAATTTAAAGCTGATTCAAAAAGAATAAAAAGAACATTCTGTGGTGAAGTTGAGATGTGGAAGAGAAGGAAAGCAGCCTGGCAAAGAGGGAATAATCTCCCAGAGAATTTGTGGGAGCCTCACTGACTAAATATTTTAAAATTTTTTGACAAAATTTAAAGAACATTCTGATAACGTAAATGACCACATAATACAAACTATTATAATATTAAATATTGATAGAAACTTGAACATAATTACTTTTTTGGGAGACATTTATTTAATTTATTCATTTTGTTGTCTATTTCAAACTGGCATTTATCTTAAGTCATCATCACAGAATCTGAACATCTCAGTCTATTAAAGGTATGTTTAATTTCCTCACATGGGCTAAAATTTCACTTCCAGCTTTGTCTGTGCCGTTTTGCTCCAAGGAAGAAACGACAGTGGCTAATTCCTTCTTGTCTCTGTTGTTCTTCATTGTAAAGAACATCCTCGTGTCAAACAGTATTTTGCAGTACATTAAATTTCTAAGGCATCTTGCAGTGTCTGCAGATACACAGTTTCATGGATCAGCCACCATTAGTGTGCATTGTACTGTTCCCCGTTCAGATGGCCTTTACCTGCAGGTCAGAGCAAGGGAAATGCAACAAACAAACAAACAAAATGCAGAAAAACAAACCCTGTTTCATTCAGCCACTTAAATAAATTGGCTATGATTCACTGCAGTGCACAGATAAAATGTGTTTACTTTGGTTGACCGAATTAAAGGCTTGCTCTCTTCTCAAATAGTCCGTTCTGAACTGGCTCAAATGTAGGATTGTTGCACTAGGACTCAGTTTCATTACTGGTGTTGATAGCATGTGGAAGCCAGTTCCTTTCAGTTTGTGCATTATCACTGCAGGATATGCTTTATCTCTTATCCTGTTACATGAAGAATATTATTGCTCAGAAATGTCAAGGTAAATAATAGTCTTATCTTCCTTGTCAACAGTATAATGTGGTTTTCTTCTCACCTTGCTTCCTTAACAAGGTGTAAAATTGCAGTTTGTCTGATAAAACAGGGCAGTAAAAACAGAAGTGTAGTTAGAGATCATATTCTTTGTAGCCATGAAACTGAATCTACAGAAAGAACTACAGGCAATAAAGAGGGCTTTCAGATACCCCTATCAACTCACATTACACAGTTCTTTAGGAGGTAGGTTATAAAGATAAAGCTAACGATAAGAATGCCCTAAGTGCAAGACATAAAAGTTTGTCTTTCAGCAGTAATGCCAAAGCCCAGCTCTTCATTAAAAAACAGATTTTAAACTTCTATTGCCTGATCTGAGAAATCAATCCTAGAATCCTTTTAGAAAGTAATGTTTTTTGGGCCAAGGTTTCTCTTCTTCAGTGCACCTGCAAAAGCATAAAGCACCAGTCAGTGAATACCTAGTTGTGTGTTAGAATCTACTTTTATTAAAGCCAAATGTACAGTTCAAGGGGCATTTACTAGAAAAGGCATTTTGGAAAGGAGAACTAAAAGAAAAAAAAAAAAAACACACCACCATGAGAAATTTCTGATTTTCTTTTTTTATTTTCAAATGGTATGCAAAGCACCTTGACCTTACCTAATTCAATTGTTATTTATGCCAGCAGCCTGGATAGAAGTGTAGTGCTGCCCATACCATGCCCCTAACGTGAAGAGTTATACATGGACTCAGCCTCCATGCCTGGAAGGCAGCCATTCTGGGAATAATTATACATATGACTCAACACACACATACTCAGCTATTAATATGTTTACAGAAGCAGACCTGACATTGTCTAAAATTATTGCAGGGTAATTTTACTCTTACTAATTGCATGGTCTAAAACCAAATTGCTTTTTCTTTTGTTAGTTTTTGGATAACAATAAAAGGATACATTGTGATAATGGACATTAATAGTAATTATTTTTCCAAAAAGTATGTTAGATTACCCCTTAAAGTCCTTGCTAGAAACAAACGGAATTCAAAGTATTCTGTAGTCATCAGATTAATCCAGTTCACAGATACTTCAAATATTTGGTGAAATTACAATAAATGTCTGAAGTAATAGTTTTTATGTCTCTTGTTAAATTTATCTGTCATTTAAAACTAAATGTATCTAATTCCAAAAAATATTTTTCATGCATGGTATTAACATACCAGATTTCAATAAAAATGAAAGGGTTCCAGTAGCAACACTGAGAATTCCAAGTTGCCTTTGTTGCATGCATATGTACAGTCTTAGCTTTGATCAAGTTCAAAAAGCAAAATATGGCATGATCCTGGGGAATTTGGATTTTCCCTTTCTGAAATACCATGGGTGTCTGAAGCTTATTTAGGTGTCCTCCAGGGCCAAGATCCTGCACTTGGGCAGCACCGCCAGAATCCTCAGCTCCAGTGAAGAAGTCCAGGAGTCCATGTCCAGGGTAATCCCCTGCACGAGTGTTGGAATGAGGGAGGACAGACCTAGTGTACCAAAAGCCATATGGAAGGTGGATGCTCCCTCTTCAGAGACACACAGTGGACAGAAAGGATAAATCAGCACCTGACAGCCTGGACAAAACACCTGGACAACAGTGGGCAGGGAAATCTGCTGAGCTGCAGTGTTGGCAGCTGGCTCTGTCTTTCACCCCTTGATTTGATCACCCGGCTGAGGAGACTTAGCCTCTATTATTGACTGTGAAGCCTGGCTGGCCAGCACACACCTTTCCCATTGAAAATCCAAAGGGTTGTTTGAAAAGCTTTGTCCAGCAGCCCAATCAATTCCTGCCACTGTAAGATTTAAGAACATTGTTTCTCTTGCTGACTGTGCTCACGGGAAGCCTAAGACCCGGGTGAGTAAGAAGCCCAAAGGCTTTATCACTGATGGTCTGTCACACGTGGTGACTTCTTCCACCAACAGATTTTTGGCTTTTCCCTGGTATTTAGGCCCTGGTACTACAGCAAAGATACCATAGTGGTGTCCACCTATTGCAGAGTCAAATCTTAATACACAGGGAGTAGCAGAATCACTTGTAGAAGACTGTGTTTATTTAAGTGCCAAATATGGATCTCAGCAATCAGCAATTCATTCTAAGTGAATCAGTATTCATATCACTTGGCAATAATTTGCTCATTCCAAAGTGTGTGTTATGCAGCACTTACATTCCATCTATTATTTTAATCACCTTTATAATGTTATAATTTTTTTTTTTTCTTTGCAACTCGGTAGTTGCACAAGAGACAGGTTAACAAATAAAGCTGCTTGCAGTTAAGGTTGGGGCAAGCTGTCTGATTTCTTGTGTCATGTCACCCAAACATGCCTTCACTGATACATAAGGTTGTCATCTAACAGCTGACACTTAGCTGCACTTCCTGCTTGCGTCCACTTAATATTTTTATTTCATTCATAGTTATAATTATTCTGACAAGTACAAGTTGTTCTGTAGTGACAGCACTGTTTTTTTAGTGGTGGTGTTTATTTAGATAGATTGTGGCAGTAGCTGTGTCATGTCCATTGCACTGGAAATCAAAGTCATTGATAACCACATGCACTTCAGCAAAATAATGTTATAACAAAATAAAATAGTATATAAGGTATTAAGCACTTAAAGGCACCAATCCAGACAACTTTTTTGAAGAATCTATTTCTGCAGGCAAAAAAACCCTAAAAAATTAATATGATTACCAGGGAATTGGATGCAAGTGTTTGAAAACTTGAAAAATGTATACACCTGTTCGAGCCAAAGCAAATGCTTTCGGGGGTTGTGTTATTGTTGGGTTTGTCTTTTGTGGGTTTTTTTGTTTGTTTCTTCTAAC